GAAGTAGTTTCAAAATGTGGTATATTTGGTGTGAAGGTTGGAAATAATGGATTGATAGTTTCACATCTTCAGTATGCAGATGATACTATCATATTTTGCGATCCATGTAAAAGGAAGATTACAAGTCTGTGGATTTTTCTTAAATGTGTAGAACTGGTAATAGGACTAAAAGTTAACTTCGACAAGACCTAACTGATTGGAATAGGTTGTCCAAAGAATACAGTGGAAAGGTTGGCTGATTTGTTGGGTTTCGGAGTGGAAAGTTTAACTTGTAAGTATATGGGGATTCCTCTTGTGAATTCAAATCCTCTAAGGTCTATATGGGATCCAATCATTGAAAGATTTCTCAAAAAGTTAGATTTATGGAAAGCTAAAACTCTCTCTCTAGGATGGAGGTATACTCTTATCAAATCAACTTTATCAAATTTATCAATTTATTATATATATTTATTCAGGATGCCTAAACTGATTGTTAAGCGTCTAGAAGAGTTAATGAGAAACTTCATTTCGCGTAATGATGAAAAGAAGAAGAAATTGCATCTAGTAAGCTGGGAGAAAATATGTGCAACGATGAGATAATGAGGTTTGGAATTTAGAAAGTTAAAAAAAAAAATTGCCTCGCTTATCAAATGGTGGTGGAGAATTCACAGCCAACATAATTCTTTTTGGGTGGAGATTCTTCAAAGAAAGTATGGCATGAATATTTTCTATGGCTTAATCAAAAGTTTGAGAAATAAGTCATCTTTGCATCATGTTTGGAGGGATATTGATTATGATAGACCTATATATCTGATACATTTTCGAAAAGTAATTGGGAATAGGAAAAATACTTTATTCTGGTTTGATAAATGACTTGGTGACTTCCCACTGAGATATTTATTTCCATAAGTCTTTGCCAAAGTTACTAACCCATTAGCTTATGATAAAGAAGCTGGTGGGAGTTTTTCTACTAACATTGCTTGGTCTTTACCTTGCAAGTATAAATGAGTTTTTGACAGATTTATTGATAAATACCAAAGCTTATGGAAATGCTTCAAAGTGTTTATACCTCACTAAATAAAGAAGATGTTATCATTTGGGATCTTAATATCTCCGGGGCCTTTTCAGTTAAGTCAGCCTATGATCTCCTTTTTTGTGATTGTAGTCGACAGTTAAATGTTGGAAATTTTAAAAGTATAATTATTCTTATGGATAAAAGTACTTTTTGTGATTAAGATCCCAAATTATAGATCAAAGGATATCATGCCTTTAAAAATACAATTATTCTAATGGATTTTGTGCCAAGATAAACTAGTTACTATTGATAACTTGAGAAAAAAGGGTTTCATTATAACCAATGTCTATATTTTTTGCAAAGCTGATAATGAGAGGACCCAACATCTTTTTCTTGATTGTCCCTTTGTGATAAATCTATGGGATTGAGCTCGTCAGAGTCTAAATCTTTCGATATATACTCTTGAAAATATAAGTCAACTTCTTCACCAATGGCTTACTCCTGGTATCTCAAAGATGGGTATATAATGTGCTGAGTATTATTTGGGGTTATGGAAGGAAAGAAATAAAAGAGTATTTGAAGTTGAGCACTGATACTTTGATGTTGAAAACCAATATATTGGCACTGGCAGCGAACTGGTTTTCTACATATAAAGATGCTAAATTCATCCCAGAAAGCCAGATTTTTACTAATTCTAGAGCAATGACTAGTTTATCTTCTCGTAGATCAAGTCCAATGGGCGCTGTTTGGACACCACCACCTGCTAATGCACACAAATTGATTTGAAGGAAGTTCTTTTGAAAACTCAGATGCAGTGGGTTTTGGTGGATTGATAAGAAACCATATATTTGTTCATATTTTGGCCCTTGTGGTATTACTACAGTTAATGAAGCTGAAGCTAGAGGCCTTTTGGAAGATATTAAACTCTTGTTAAGATTTGAAGGAGAGAAGATCATACGAGGGGATTCAACAAACATTATAGCTTGGAGTAAAGACGAAGCTAATATACCATGGAAGTTGACTACAATTTTTCATGAGATATGGGATATTCTCAAAACTATAACTGCTGAAATCCGCCATTGCTACTGGGGGTTTTATGCCGAGGCTGATTGTCTTGCAAAAGAAGGAGTACACCAATCTTCGTTGGTGATTACTTCCTTGTAGTGAATTTGTCTGCATCTTGTAACTTGGTTTTCTTTTAATGGGAATTTTTTGGTAACGTTAAAAAAAGAAGAAAAGAAACACTAGGAGCAAAGAGAAAAAAAAAACACAATGAGAAATAAAAAGGTGTTTTTTATGCTAATTAGGGAAATCTTTATATGTGGCATACCATAGTTAGCAAGTCTCCGCTTAAAACACGATTTTTTCAAAAAATCTCCTATTTTTTGGAATCTGTTTAGAACTATGTGTTTTTTTTAAAAGATCTTCAAAAAATCGTGTTTTTTTCATGGAACTGATGTAAACCTGTACTTATCTTTTTTTCAAAAAAACATCTTCCCTATAACTTTATTTCTAACGAAAAATCTTTTTTTTTTCTTTAAACCTAATGCATTCTTATAAAGAGCATTTTGTGTAAGATTCGAAATTGCTTAAAGATTTTGTATACTAAAGATTTAAGAAGCTAGGAATTTAGCATGAGATTTGAATTTGCTTAAACATTTTGTTGCTTTCTTCATATATAGAGAAATTTGATTAATTTTATTTTTTATTTTATTGTTGTATATAACATAGCATTTTGGATGGACTACTATTTTATGTATTTGGGTATGTATTTTGTTTTAGTTAATTGCAATCATATAGTGAGGGTCTTTTTCGTGTGTTTTTTTTCTCTTCAAACAATAATCCTATATCTTAGTTTACAGTTCTTGTTATCTATTAATGTAGTTCTTGTGTTGAGTATTATTTATATTTTATTTTATGCTCCAAATAAATTGTGATATTTTTTGTGTTGTGACCACAGAGTAAGCACAAATGTTGGACAACTAAGACATCTTCAATTATAAACGTGAAACCTAATAATGTTTTATTTTCAAATTTTTTTATATAACTTACATTGACATGAAGTTTGGGGTATATGCCCACTCCTTAGACACTCACTTAACAAAAAAACAAAAAAATATGATACAAAAAAATGTCAAATAAATACAATTGCAAGCCGTAGGGGCATTTTGGATATTTTATTAAAATATTTATTTTTCTTATTTTCTTAGTGCGCCCTTATGAGAAGCGTGCAGTCCTCAAATTTTATGTCAAATGATTTTTAAAAAATAGAAAATGAAATATTTTGAGTCATTCGATCAAGATTATATGCTCATATGCACATTATCACTTAGTTGTGCATTTAGATAACATGGTTGGGAAGATATGCCTGTGACATTATGCCTTAGTTGTGCATTTGGATACCATGTTTCGGAAGAGTAATATCGTATGTTTAGATGCAGGTGGTGTCATGTGCTAAGGTTTCCCTATTAATCATGCCTACTTAAAATAAGAATTGTAAAAATAATAATTTCTATGATAGTATTCGGCTTGTCCAAAAGAAAACTTCCAAGAAAAGAGAACATGTCAGATGGAAAATTGAACCAATATAAAAAAAAATGTCAAATGAATTAAAAGTTTAAATCAATTTTTTGATTGAAGGATTAAAAAATCATATTACATATAATATCTTAGTAGGAGCATCATGCAATGCATGTGTGATTAGCTAGTTCTAGTAATGGAATGAGAATTATTGATTGGAGTTTATTGGGAGTATGAAGGCAATTGAGATTTTTATGTTGTTGTGGGTGGTTGTAAATGTACAAAATATTAATAATTAGAGAAATTGCACGATGTTTTAAGGAAAGGGAAATAATAACACATACTTTTTGGACTAAATCAATCCTCCACCTGCCAAAAGAATTACATTTCCTATGCAAAGGCAGTCCATTTTTTTTCAAAAAAATATCTTCGTAAGGAAAGAAAATAGTAAAGATAGAGAACTTATCAAACCACACCAATATATTTACTATTTAATATTTCAACTATTCCCTTTGTTTTGCTTTTGAAAAGCCCATCAAGATACATACAATAAGAGTGCAAAAATTGTTGGAGGGGTGATTTTCAATTTGGCTCCTCCATGGAAATTAATTTTATTTTTTAGAAAAGCCATAAATATGATTTGATATTTTCAAATACACAAGGTAATGACCATGAGGCTAAGGTCAATTCTTTATGACTGGAGTCTTTGCCACAATATGATTTTGATATGAATTATCAGATCCTTGATAGTGTTTTGGTTGCACATGATTGTGTTCGTTCCAGGTAAAAAGTAATGTTTTTGTGATCGTTTACAACTTTGATTTGATCAGGCATATGATAATGTTGAATGTGTGTATCTTTAATGGAAAAGCATAAAATAAGACTATTTATTTTCACTACAAAGAAGTCACATTTTTTTTAAAAAAAATAAGGAAGTCACATTCATCATCAACCATTGTATGTAACATCAGGCTGCTAGATGTGTGTTGATTGGGCACAAAGTTCCTAGAAAATTTTTTAAATTTTGTGATACACTCCAAGTTGTCAAAATTTACATTTAATGATACATGTATCGTGACCTCTTTATACTAAAGGTAAACAACCATCACAGTAGACAAACTCATCCTTTATTAGTGGTTTTGGTAAAATATAAAGAAGTTGGATAAAAGATGGCCTCTCCACCGTTGATTTCTCAAGCTTCGGGAGGTATTAGATAAGGGAATCTCGTGTACCCTGTCTTATTTACAATTATTATTAAATTTTTAGTAATTGAGGTCATGTCATGCAAGAAGATCAATTTGAACATGACTTAAAATGAAAGATGAAGAAAGGAATTAAAAAAAATAAAAAATTTATATATATTTTTTAAAAAATTCCAAATTTAAATCATTGTCGCGGTTGAGATTATAGAACCCTGATGGAAAGTATATCTTTGAAAATTTTTGTAGGGAGACCACTTAACAATAGTGTGAGTCGGCAGACTCACTAAACCAAACACTTCTCCTACAGAGAATTATGTCTTATGGATCTCTGGAAGAAATCCGCGCTTGAACTGAGACGCACCAGAAACCATTCCTTTCTTGAGGCGGTCTCACCTTTAAACCTCAAATTTGTTCCAGCCTCTTGAACTCAAAACCCTAGACTGGAAGAAGAAAAAACCCTTGAAAATGGTTGGAACGAACTTGAAAGCAGAGACGACGGCTCTAATGGAGAAGAGGAGCTTATTAGAGGAGCAAATGAGCGCAATTATCTCTCGTCTCTGTGTTCCTGGAGGCCCTGGTCTCTCTGGAAATCTCCTGGATTCCGAGGTATCGCTTTCCTTCTCAGAAATTTCGGCTATGGGAATCGAAGTTGTTATCTGTTTCTCATATTGTTTTTCTTCTTGGATCTCTTTCTTTGTATATAATCCCTGTATGTGAAATCATTAAAATTTATCCTGTTCTAATTTTATTGAGATTAAGAAAATTCAAGGACGTGGATGGACCTCATATGGATTTGTTAATTGGATTGCATTCCCTTTCTCTTTCTTTTCACTTATTTTAATGGGTATTTTTCGGGAAAAATTAATGTCTTTTCTGCTTCGATTTGTTTCTGGAATTGGTAACTTTGAAATGTACATCTGGGCCTCATGTTGATTTCTGTCTTGGATCCTAGCACACTCTCTCTCACACACACACAATACAACAGTCAATCAGGCTTGTCCCAAGCCCTCTATGTTATCTTGGAGATCGATTCCTTCTTTATTTCGAATACATTAGATTCTCACTAATGATTTACAAGGCTTGTTTCTAGATGTATCAGAGAGTTTTTCTGTTCAAAGCTTGCTATGAAATGCTGTGCCTTAGTTTTGTTATCTGATGCAGTTTGGACCATATGCAAAATTTCTGATTTCAATGGTGGTCTTAATAAATAGGGATTCCCACGAGCTGATATTGACATTGCAGCTGTGCGTTTGGAACGCAATAATCTCGCTGGTAAGTTATTTTCTATTTGAATGTCAATATAGGGGTTTTACAATTGCTCACAAGTCTTATTAGATTTGAAGGGCAAGTTTTATCTTCACCTATATGATTACTCAAAAACTTTGTTAAACTATTAATTGTCCATTGGAATATTGTACCTGAAATTTACCTCTATAGTTATTCAAAGATATTTCAAGCTTTATTGGAGAATGTTTTTATTAGTTAATGCGAAGATTATTCATGACATTTCAGTCATTATGAATGAAAAGCTTGAGTAATATGAAACAATGAACCATGTGCCTTGATTACGTTAATGAGTTTGATGGTGATATGGGAATTTACGATAGGGCTTGTATTTCTGTAAGTTCAAAGTGAAAGCAGCCTCTTTGTGGTTAATGGGATTGTCATGCCTGATTTTTACTAATGATATTTACTATAGAATTTAAAATTTTAAAGCCTTAAATCTGTCGTTATTCTGAATATTTTTACCTAGGAATCATAGTAATACTTGAACTCTGTTAGGTATATGGTTAGAACAGTGGATACATATTGGGCTTACTTTCTTTTGGAACTAGCAGTGTACGTAGGGTTTATGGTCGAGTTTCTAATTACCGATATGCTATTGTTATTTGCATTTCATAAAGTTCCTTCTTTTTTATCATCTTTAATGTTCTATGCTTGTAAAGAGGGTTTTCCCATTTATGTGTTGCAGCCATATCAGGAATTCTTGGTCAAGTAACTAATTAGTGATATTCTATTATTATTTGCTTTTTTTTTTTAACCTACCTCTTTCATAACATTTTTAATGCTCTATGCTTGTAAATAGGCTTTTCCTATTATTTTCTGTGTCCATATTAGATCCTGTATTCATTTTTTTTTTGCAGTATTACGTAATGACCATAAGGATATTACAGCAAAAATTGATCAAAACCTGCAGCTTCTTCATTCAACAAGACTAGCTCAAGATATATCTTTGCCCCCAAAAGTATCAGGTAAGCAAACGGTTTTAAGTCCTGGCATGGAGCTTTTGTTGGAGAAATAAATTGTAGTTAAAATACCTGCTTTGTAGATCGGATACATGTTTCTTGCTTTTTCAAACTTTAAAAGTCTGATTGGATTAAATTAATTTCATCAAGAGTATATCAATTTGTCTGGAACGTGTGTATTTTGTATGATCTTACTTTTTTAGTTGTTCTACAAGGTATTATTTATGCAAGTCTATCTAAGTATTGTTTTATATGTCATTTTGGTGAGGTCAGCAAACCATTCGGCTATAAGGTGAACACTTGCTCTCTCTAGTCATTGATTAGCTCAAAACTTAAGCATAGAGTTTCATTACCTCTACTTCTCTCTCTCTCTCTCTCTCTGCGTAAATATAGAATCATCCTTTCTGCAACCATCCAGCCTGCAAAATCTTAATCCCCATTTTTGTCAAATCCCCTACCCCCAGAATAATAATCGTCTGCAAACCCCAAAACTGTAGACCAAATACCCAACTGGCCTTTTTTGCACCACAAACATCTATTGTAAAAATTGAACAACCTGAATTACAATTTTTCCTTGCATCCCAATAACAAAAGGACCAAGCCTTGCAAATGATTCTCCTTGAAAGGGATAATACACATCTAAAAATTAGACTTTGGAGCCCATAAATAAATTCAGAATGAAGGCTAGATCACCTTTTTTACTGTAAGCCTTTGATCATTTCATTCATATTCTGAGTTATGAAACAAATGCGAGCAATTCTTAAGCTATTAAGACGTGATGCTGAGGTCCAAACTTTCCTAAAGGAAAATGTCCCAAAACCCTTGCTCTGATATCACAAACAAAATAAGAACTACTTGTAAATTAAGCCATAATTCCCTTCTTTAAATTTCCTAGAAGAAAATTACCACAAAACTCTAGCTATGCAAATGCATGTTGAAATATGCTCCATTGAAAACCCTAAAGCATATAGCGAAAATCCCATGATCTGCAATGGAAACTAAAAGAAAAATTAACCGTAAAAAACCCTGAATTTCCCTTAATTTTCTCACCTTCTTTGTTATCAGGCAAAACACAACCATAATCCACAAAGACCATGGGAGCTCTCTCTCTTCACTCTCTCTCTCTCTCTCTTTGATCAATGAACTTGATTTGGGGTATGAGAGGAATTGGGTTAAATTGAGGAGGGAGAGATGAACACTTTGATTTTCTGTGTCGTTTCAATGTGTGTTACAAATGGGGCCCATGACCCCTGCAAACTCATCTGCTTTCTCTCTGTTTCATCCCTCTCTTTGATACAATGATCTTGATTTGAGGTACGAGAGGGATTGAAGGGGAGATTGATGAGTAAGAGTTGAACATGAGTAAGAGTTGAACCCTTTGATTTTCTCTCTCGTTTCAATGTGGGTTACAAATTGGGAGAGAGGGAGGATGAATTTCTTTAGGTTTTTGGTTCAATGAAAGGTTCCATTTGGTTTGCCCTTAGCTTGAAAAATTAATAGGCCTCTACTCGGTTAGAGATAAAATACCTTTTTGGTCTTATAGGCTTATTGGGATATGGTGTAAAAGCCTATCTTGAATATCTTTTGGGAAAGCTTTCTATGTTCCCCCTACAACGTGGAAGTTCTATCCTCCCCCTACCATCCAGTCGTCCATTTTTGAGCAAGAGAGCCACTCACCGTTTGATCTTAGATCCGATGTCTAAAAGTATTTTATTTTTAGTTTTTTTAATACATTTTTTCTGAATATGAAATTTGGTACGAGCCATCTTCTCATTGGGGTGCACCTATAAAAAATATTAACAATAATTTTTCGATAAAACGGATGCGCTAGCGATGCTTTAGCGCCCTTGCTTCTTGCTTTCGAGCCAGCGAAGAAAACGGCTTTCGAGACTACGCTTGCTGGAGTCAAAGCACTAAAGCGAGGGAGAAGAGGTTTGGTTGCACAAACGCGGGGGAATGAAGACACAACCCAGGCAGGGATGTGACTCTCAACATCGAGACCGTGTTGGGACGGTTGGACTTAATGGAAGGTATGATAGCTTGGTATATAGGCACTTAGGGAGGGGGCCATGGAACCGCCGAATTGACTTTCTCCAACTTGCTGCTGTTAGCAGTGGTGCCGTATCGATCCAGCATTGGAACAGGGAATGGAATTGGATGGGGGAACTGCCGCCTCTGTCCCAACTACGGGTACAGGACCTACTACGGCTACAGGAAGTTTGCCACACCACATGGATGTTTTCTCAGATGCCTATGCCGCTTATGTTCAGGCGGATACAATTGTATCTACCGGCTTGGTCAAATGCACTCCACATCGCTGCGACTTGTACCCCTTGATACTTTCAGGGGTATTTTGGTCATTTTATTTTATTGAAAATATTTTTTTTATATTTTTCGTTAGTGCGAGTTTAATAGAGGAATGGACGGCCAAATTTGGTGTCAAAACAGTTTATAGAATCGTGATATTGTGATTGGGGCAATCTTAGCCCTCCATTAAAAAATGGACGGTTGGATAAGAGGGAGGATAGAACTTCTATGTTGTAGGGGGAACATAGAAAGCTTTCCCATATCTTTTTAGGCATACTACCAAACAACATAGAGGTACTTTGGGTAAATTTCTCACCGCTTGTCAGGAGTATCTTATGCACCAAAACATGCCCCTATGTGATTTTGTTACTGTAATTGAAGTTAGTTCAATAAATGAGCTTATTGTCTTCTCTATGTTTGCAAACCTCGATACCTTTGCCTTCCGATCATTGAAAATGAATTAGGGAAAATTGATCAATGGTTTTGCCTCCTAATTGGAGATTTCCTTTATCGATTATATAGGAATCTATTATTCTTCAATACTTGGTAGGTTTTGTTTGGAGTTGTTGAGTATTTTCAGTGTGATTGGTTCCTTTTTTTTTGCAAATCCTGTACTTATTTATATCACTGATGTATGTATGGGGGGGAATCTTTCTAATTGTAGCAGAATTACTCGAAAGAAAGAATACCTGGGAATACTTTGCTTGTTGAAAAGATACATTTATAGTTAAATAGTAACTTGTTCCAAGTAAAAATGGAAATTCAGAAGGACATGTGATAACCCAGTCTGACATGCTGGTATTTCTTTTCATTTATTTTTATTTTTTTGAAAATTATTTCGTTTCATTTATTTGGCAAGCTATTGGTGGTGAATCAAGTACTCAAGTACCGAATGCTATTGTTATGGCTGAATCTTCCCCTTTGCATGGGCAAGGGACATCTCAAGAAAACTTTTATACTGCCATGGATGAGGATCCTGTTGTTGGTGTGCCTTTTGCAATTGTTGATGAAATTGCTGATGGATCGCCTGCTTCGGATGATGGACTTCAGCTTGGAGATCAGATTGTGAAATTCAGTAATGTGGAAGGTGGTGAGCAATTACTTGCAAGACTTGCTTCTGAAGCTCAATCAAACCAGGGTTGTGCTTTACCTTTGGTGATAGTGAGACAGGGTATGTTCATCAATTTGGCTGTAACACCAAGACCATGGCATGGTCGGGGCCTACTGGGGTATGCTCGCTCACTTATTACATATTTCATTCTTTTTCGCCTTAATTTCTATTGAATATGGAAGGATGCTTTTGTGAAATGATTATCATCTTATAGTTATGGCTGCCTCTTATTTCTCCTTTGCTAATCACTTGGTTAAAGACGTGTGATTTTGAATATTGTCATATGTTGTAGCATTTGCCGAGCATTAAAATTTCTTTACTCTGTTGAAGGCACTCCGTTACCTAATCCTTGTATTTAAGAAATCATGCAGTGTTTCTTTTGGAGGATGCTCGTGTTGAATGTGTGACTAGTATGGAGGATAACCTTCAGCTATTGGTTAAACATTTTATATAAGAACAAGCTGTGCAGTGAAGGGGCAAAATTGGCTCTGTGGGGGCATTCTCATATGAAGTAGGCCGAGAAGTTATTCTTGGCACGTGGCTTACCAGAAGACTTCCTCTTGTGGTGCGCCACAGCCTGCTGCTTCTGTTCCACTCCATCTTTCTTCCCTTTATCTTTACCTTTGCCTTGATGTGAACCCTCTTTCAAGGCATTGAACTTATAGTCCCCAAGGCTCTCCATGACCGCTGCAGCTGTGGGGAGATCCTTCACTCCTTGCTGCCTTAGCTAGCTTGAGCCCGAAGCTGCAAACTAGGCATGGAGCTGAAGAGATTGTTTTCCTAGGACACATTCTTTATGCCCAGCCTCAAGCTTGAAAATTGCTTGACGTACTCATGCACTGTGGCTATGCGCTTGAATTTTCTTATGGCTTCTCTCGGTCTCGGCAAGATTCCCTGGTAAAAACTACTTCTTGAACTCCCTTTTGGGGTCCTCTCAGCCTTCCATAGGAGGCCTCACCTCATCATTAGTGCACCACTAGAGCTTTGCATCTCCAATGAAGTACATGGTGGTCAGGGTCAATTGGTCTTCCTCTCGAGTTCTACATCTCCGATTTTGAAGTAGGACTGCATGTCCAAGAGGAAGTTCTCCAACTCTTTGGCATTCCTTGTCCCTTCAAATGGCTTGGGCTCAGGCATATAGATGTTAATGGCTAAAGCACACCTGGTGAGTTGCTTGGAGCCCTTTTGACAACGTCAAACTCCTCAGCCAGTGTCTTGAGGTTTTTTTTGAACAGGTAGGCAAGGGAAGCGATATCAATCTCAAGCTCCCCCTTGCAGGTTCCCAAGCATTGATTTGCTCCTCATGAGTCCCACCAAATGATTGAGCTGTGTTGTGAGAATGCCCTCCTCCAAGGCAGCAATATGAACAACCAACTGGTCACGTTGCTCTAACTTGCTCCTCCACCTTGACGCCACCTTGGAACAGTTTGGGGAAATGCATGACTATCTTCATCAGGCAGTTGGGTGGATGGAAAAGTATGCAAATACCGATCAACGATGCCTTTTCAATGTGGGGTTTGGTTGATACTAAAACTTACTTCTCAAATATGACAGGAGGCTAATGCCGAGACTGCAATTTGTCGGCTGATCCGAAGATATAATGGTCCCTTTGAGGTGATCATATGAATTGGCGAGCGATCTTACTGCTTGGCTATTAAGGTTCATTTGGCATTCCATATATGCTTCTTGAAGCAACATCATAGGACAAAGGTTCATGCAGTTAGTTTTTCATGAATATGCTAACGCGAGGTGAAACTATCTTGGCTGGGCAGATGTTGCTCCCAAGCAATAAGGATAGAAGAGTTGACTTTCAGGTTAAGAGGAAGGGCTTGCCAGAAGAATCAGCTAGTTGGGAAAAGGATGCGACTTTTGTGAATACGAGGGTCCATGCGAGGAGTTCTTAAACTAAGCCCCCCAATAGGATTATTTCGAAATGTGGTGGGGGAGACTTATCTGATCCCTTACTGGGTGGGTGCTTGCATACTGGTCAAGGACTCGGTGCGTCAAGCTCCCTTGGCGCAATCGACAAGCAAAGAATGGCCTGCAGGTCCTTGCATAGATCCAAAAAGACCTGTGAACTTTTTAGATTGACAAACCTCCATGAGGGAGGATCTTCGGCCTTGGAGTGACCTTTGGTGGTAGGGCTATAAAATCGTTGAGTTTGGGTCAGGTCAACATCGACTTGGACTTGACCCAATAGGGTCCAAGTGAGACCTGAACCGAATGGCATCTAAGGTCAATTTGATTTGGACGATCAGCTGGCTTTGTGTCAAAATATAAAAAATAAAAAAATATATATTATATATAATTGTATAAAAAAATAGGCTCAAAAGGACGTGGTTGGAAGTAGTTTGAAAAGATATGGGGACTTATGACTTCATTGAGGATATGGCTTTTGATAGAGCACAGTGAAGAATCAGGATTCATGTAGCCAACCTCAATTAATTGGGAAAAGGCTAAAATGATGATGATGATTTGTATAAAAATGTCATAACTTTTATAATATAATGATAATAATAATATAAAGATTATGTATTGTATATAATGTTAGCATTTCCAAAATGAAAAAAATGTGATGGGGTTAGGTCGGGCTGACCAGACCCGATATGGTCTAGGCTAGACCTGTACCATGATTACGACCTAATACTTGTTGGCTTCAAGTCAAGTGGACCAGGACCCAACCCGCCGAGTCTAGTAATTGGTTCATACTTCATACCTGGTTCTCGGTTGGGTCAACTGCTGGTTTGTGGGTCGACTGAACCCGTTTATCTCCCCTGTTTGGTAGGAAGCAGGGCTGATGTGGTGCATGGTGCATGAGGCGCTAGAGTCATCGTCAGACGTGCGCAAGTGGGCTACTTAGCTGGTCAGGGCATTGATTGACCCAGGCTTAGCTGACCGCTTGATAAGTTGAGTTCGAGACTCAGATGTGATACTGCCTAGAGACCATAAGTGGGTTAGAGAGAGAGCTTTGTAACAACCATAGGCCATGGGTGTAATGGTGCGCCAAGAAGGCCATGCAAGACTAGAGGTTGGCTGTTAGGGTAGCCCATGAATTTGAAATTCAAAACTATGTAACTGACTAGTCCATATAAACCCCAGGTCAAGACCTTTGATGAGCATCTGGTGCAATATACTTGCAAGTGTACGATGCAATAAATTTGGGCCACAGCCCTTGACCCTTTGGAGTCCCTTTGTGTGTGTGTGTATGTATGTATGTTGGTTGGTAGGCTGAATTTGTGGTTGGTAGGCTGAATTTGGCCCCCATGCAGTCATATAGAGGAGCCAACGATACACAGTTAGGTTAGTGAACAATAGTCCATGGCAGTTTCACACTCGATTACCCATGTCCTTTACACACAAGAACATTCTGTCCAACAAGGACTTCAATTGGCCAGGTAGAATCAAACAGTTTAAGATGCCCATCAATTGAAGTTCAACATATTCTCTCTTTTGTTAATTATCGCCAAGTATCTTTTTCCTTTGCCTCTGTGTGCTTCCCCAATACATCATGGGCCTGGATTTTGTTGGGGCCTTATTTGAAGGCTTTTTATATTGATTTTTCGAGCTTGTGTTAAATTAGGCTTGAAGTTGGCGACAATGATCAAGTTATGTTTTAATCTGAGGTTTAAATTCCCCAAGAACATTCAACCACGGTTCACAAAGATGAATGTGTCAAATGCTTGTTAATTACCTAATCATAGTGTTGGATAATTTGGTACTATCAAGTTTTCATCTTTCTTCTCCACTTTTCTTGATGACACTTCCATCATACTTATTCTGGCTAGATTCATGGTTCTCATAATCTTTCTTCTTGGTTACAGATGCCATTTCCGAATCTTATGATGGGTTCAATTGCAAAAGCCAATTTTAGTGAACTGTGCAAGGTGCATTGTCATTTGCTGGTCTAGTCATGTATTTGCTGGTGCAGTATTTGGACTTCCAAGTCGGGATTTTCGAGAGATTTTTATGTTCCCCATAATTTTACCCTCTTTTTGCAGTGGTTTAATGCATTGAATACTAAAGCCAAAGGTTGTGTTTTTTTCCTTAATGAAATGATTGGACGAATATTTGCTTGTTTTTTTCCTTAATTTTAGAAGATCCAGTCATCATGTGTATTAAGTCTTGCAGTTATTAGTTTTTTATAGAAGGAAAAGTAAGGGAATTTTATTGTGTGCTTTATGACATTTAACTCCCAAGGAAAAGTTATGGAGTAAAGTTACGAGGCTGCACAAATTGAATGAAGATTGCAATCATGGGACTAAGACGCATGATTTATCAAGAATAAAGCATGATTATGAAAACTTTACTTTTATCCACCAAAGAAGGGTGGTAATAGTGTTTTGGGCTATACATTTTGTTAAAAGACTTCTATGCTCCCGCTGGAGCCTATGGCCTATTTACCCCTTTGGGTAAACCCGATATTTAGTATTTTTACACATTCAAATATGACAGATTTTGTAATTTTAGTATTCTTGTTAGGGGACAAAGGACGGGCAAGTATCTCTCTCTCTCGATTCTTGTTAGGGACCACAGGAGGGCAATTAGGTCTCTCTCTTGCCCCCCCTCTCTCTCTCTCTCTCTCTATGCAACTTATTTCTAAGCAACTTACTCGAGTCAAATTTTTTTTTTCACTTTTTACTCTAAAATATAGTTTTTTAGCAAATACCTTTCAACCACAAAAAATAAATAAAAAAAAGATTAAACTATCTTCCCTTGACTTTTACCCACGCCTCTCTCTCGCCTCTTTTCCTAGATAAAATACGGTTCGACTTATCTTTATGGTGGTCCGACACTTCTGTCCCTGAATAAACATGGGGTTTGGCAAATCTATATGGTGGTTTGGTACATGCGGTCTGACATATTTATATAGCGGTCCGGCAGGAAGTGGTTTTGAATTGGGAAGAGTCCGGTAGATAATGAAATTGGTTTGGCAAATTGTTTAGTTTAATTGGATCGGACAATTGGTACATGGTGGTCTGACAGTCCATGTAGCTTTTGGAACTGTGCGTAGTCCCACGTGAATATCGGGCCAAAATTAAATTTTGATGTACGAGTAAAGGTATTTTTGTCAATTCTTTATTTTTTTTCGGGCTATTTGCTAGGAAAATATATTTTAGGGCAAAAATTGAGAAAAAATTTTGATTGGGGTAAGTTATTTGTAATTTTCCCAAAAAAAAAAAAAAGATAAGGCTACTATGGCAATTTCTTAAAGAGGGAAATATACCAATAGGTTTTGTGAATTCTCTCTCCCCGCATTGTGAATGCTCTCTCTCTCTCTCTTTCTCTCACTCACACAAGTGAAAAAGGATGAGACCAATTTGAGGCAAATCTATTTAAAGAAGACGGGCCAATATGTTTCTGAATCCCAGAAGACTTCGAATTTTCCTTGGAAAAATTTCCTAAACTTGTGATTATCGCTTCTCCTTTATTTTCTTTTCCTTTTCTGGGTTAGGTACAGTATTTGAGAAGCAACCAACCATCACAAAAATATTCACTTTATCCCACTATAGCAAAAAGAAAATTGAAAGAAAGAGAAAAAACTAGAAAAATCGAAAACATAAATAAATGGAGATCATCAGCTGTTAGTCAAAAGACAAAAAACTGTGGGTTAAAATTAATAGAATAAATCAGTGTTTGAGGTTGGTATGACCCCTAAGTGTATATAGGGATTGTCTTTTTCATCATATTTGAGAGTGTCTTTTTCAGAGGGCCTGATTATAACACCAAACACCTACGGAAAAGCATAATTTTATTGTTGGCCCAATCCTTGATCATAAATATCCAACTACTGCATTCTACTAATCCAACTCTTTTGGTACGTTACTCAATTGCCAAGTGTTCCCATCCCCCAACAAAATAAATGCATAAATCGATAGTTTCTAAGCATAAAATATCATCTTTTCCCAAGTATTTAAACAATAATGCAAGTATGTGCAATGTTAGAGAGAGAGAGAGAGAGAGAGGGGTTAAACAATAGAACGGGTTTGTGGTCTCGAGGGAGGAGTTAAACAAGACAATGGGTTTATGGTAAATATAGTTCGAGAGACAGAAGTTGGGTCTATTGTTGTTATAATACCTTTGTACTTTGGCCGGAGTCCAACCTTGAAACAAATGATTTAAAAGATGTTGGGTCCGTACAGAATCATTCGAGAATCGATCCACCCATATCAATTTTGTCAATATGTAAGAAATCGTTTAGGTTTAAAAGGAAAACGATGATCTGTTACACTAACAACATTGTTTTGTTGCAATAAAAATACCAATTCACCCACCTATCTGGACAGTAAAAACATTGTTTTGTACGTGTTTTTTTTGTCGGTTCACTAATTATTTCGCACTGTGAAACGACGAGCGGATGTGAATCATTTTTTGCTATACCCAATCCTGATGGCCAATCCACTTTTTAAATCATCCGGAAACAATACGAAAATGAGTGACGTTTTAACGTACTGAACCAAATACATACATGAAAACAAAAAGCAGGTACATGGAGAGAAAGAGAGAGAGAGAGAGAGAAAAGGGTGGGTCAACTTTGGCTCTAATTCGGTGGCCATTAACCGAGGCGGGGATCGAAGGGCGTGAGTATACGAAAATGAATCACGTTTTTGAAGGTCGGAACGAAATGCGTACATCCAAAAAGGCAGGAGAGAGAGAGAGAGGATCCAATGCGTGAAGAGAGAGAGAGAGAGAGTACCGGCTACCTTCCTCACTCTGCCTACCGTTTTAAAAATAACGGCTACATCGCTTTTCTTTCCAAACCACTAAAATTTATTTCACTTTTTCACGGTGGCTGACTTCCCCACCTCCCCCATTATCTATGCCCTATTTAAATCCAATACAATATTCATAAGCAAATAAAATAGAAATACATCCTTAAAAAAGGAAAAAAATACTTGATAAAGACGTTTAGCCCATAATTCCAAACATGAAACTCTTGTTCTCTTTTTCTTACCAAAAATAAATACTAAATTCTCAAATTTTTTTTCCAATTAAGGTCGGCTACATAAATTCTAAAATGCCATTTTGCTTTATTGAGAGCAGTCATAGTGCTGCCGTATGCCTTCATGTTTTATTTCGTTATTTTTTAACATATTTATTTAGGCTTATCTCTTGTCATTTTTTAGCTTTCAATTTGAATTATTTCACATCTCTTAATAATATTATATTTAATTCATAATAAATATTATATTTAATTCATACTTCTCAACAAATGTTGTATTAAATCTAAATATAGCTAACCGACCTCATCATCATAGCTTTTTTTTTTTTAATTAATTTAAAATGGATTACACAAATCCTGATTCGGCAGGCTCGATTTAAAATAAGGACATAGCCAACCCACCAAAATATAATCAATTTTATAATAAAAAAACACTTTATAAATGCACTAAAACTATTTTCTTCTATATAAATAGAGCTAAATATAATTGGAATTTTGAACGAAAAGATTCCCGATAAAATATACATGAAACAAACAGTCCCGGAGGGGTCAACACGTTCGGACACGAAGGCAGTTAGCGGGCAACAACCGGTCACGCTCCTGCTCTGACCGGACCACCCAGTTCCCCAGTATATAATTGTCTGAAATCTTTTCCGACACTCCATTCCCTTGTGTTCCTCACTCTCTCTCTCTCTCTCTCTCTCTCTCCTTTTCCACTCTCTCTAACTCTCAGTCTCTCTCTCTCTCTAACTCTCCCTCCTCAGATCGCGGTTGTTGTGTTTCTGGCTTTCTGCTGCGACACTGTTACAGGTGTGAAGAGCTACCTTATATATGTGTACAGGTTAAATGGATTTGAGGTCGCTCGGCCAGTTCTAGGGTTTCAGATCATTTGGCGAGTTTTAGGGTTTTGAAAGAGCTCAGAAGCCGTTTGGAGTGAACTTGTACCAGCTGGTTCTAGGGTTTCTGGTTGGTTCTTCTCTCACAATGTGGTGAACAATCGGTTTCCATTTCATGATTTTGTACGGGAGGTGAGATTTCTATTTTGCAGAGATCATGTGTTGTACATTTTCATCGTTAAATTAGGGCTTGGTTTTGAAGAGGACGGGTTTTATCTAGCTCCTTTGGTGGAGGTTTTTGAGTTTCAGTGAAATTTGTGACAATGAGGTGTGAAGCCAGTAGGCATTTGGGCTTGTACATGGATTTTGCTTTTTAAGCTTTTCAGTGCTCAATTCGGAGCGAGTTTGTGAAAGGAAGGGTGATATCGTTACTTTGTGATAGTTAGGGTCTATTTTGGGCCTTGATGAGTTTTTGAGCACGTTGTGCAATAACGGTCAGAAATCTTTTATTATAGGCTTTAATATTGCTGATGATGACTTTCTAATGCTGTTCAGCGTTAGATATGATCTTGGAGGAAGGGAAGTCTGTGAGAGCTATTTTCATTCTCTAGCACTAAGAAAATGAGTTCTGTATTTAATGGTAGGTGTTTTTTTTTACTGCATTTTCTCACCGCTCAATTCTGAGTTAGGTTTGGAAGAGGAAGGGAGAAATCATCTCATTCTGTGAAAGTTAGGGCTTTCTCTGGACCTCGACGAGCTTCATAAAAATTTGCTGAAATGCAGCGTGAAATCCTTTATACGAGGGCTTTTGGGGTGCATTTGGATCATTGATTTCATGTTATGCTTTCCCATTTTTTGGTTCTGAGCTAGTTTAGGAAACAGAAGGGAATACTACCTGGATTAGGAAGTGGAAGGCGGAAATTAATTAGCTAACATCTGGGATTTGAGGCAATAAGGACTTTAAAAGAGCGGTAATTTCCATGTCTGGACCTCCAAAGATCAGGTCTATGAATGTAGCAGATGCAGAGGTGAGGCCAGTTCTTGGGCCAGCGGGGAACAAGGCTCGCTCCATAGCAACTCGAAAACCTGCATCAAAACCCTTAAGGAAACAAGAGAAGCCTGAAATCACACCACCTCCAAGTAATAAAGCTTCAGTTGAGGAGCCTAAGACACCCCCAGCTGTTGTTTCTTCTCAACCAATGCCTCCTTCTCCTCGAGCTTCTTTGATTTTAAGGAGGCAGGAGTTGCTTTTGCACTCTAACCTCTCTCTAAATGCATCTTGCTCGTCAGATGCCTCGTCCGATTCAGTGTATAGTCGTGCTTCTACTGGTAAGATTTTTCGATCAAGTCCAGGGAGTAAGAGGAAACAAACTGGTCCAAAGCCTGTAAAGGTTGCTCCAGCCACTGCAGTGGTTTTGCCGACCCCTTTAGAGGGCAAGAGGAGGTGCCACTGGGTCACTGCAAATACTGGTGAGTTTTCCTCCCCTCCCCGTTATGATTGATTAATATCATATTTCCCATTTTTAGTAGTTGTCTTCTTGTTTAAAGTTTCCCTCCTCTCTAACCACTCAATCAATTGCGGTTTAATACTTTTTCTTTTTCGTATGCAGTTTAGTTTTTCTTTTTTGCAATATTTTCTCTTGTTCGCTCCTTATCTTGCCAGAGAGTCTTACATCCTTCTGATGTGATAAAGCACATTCAGATTTTAATGGTTATAGTGGTGCAGTGCAACCGTTGTTCTGCTTTGATATAGCAGATTAGGGTTCTGAACAATACTTACGAAGAACTTCTATTTTCTGGGTTTAATCATGAAATTGTTCCTTTACAAGTATGAAAATGGTAACCTTCTAACTAAAATGTGAAATTGTGTTTTTTCTATTTAGGAATCTTATGCACGAAATAATAATAACAAGAAAATAAAAATAAAATAAAAAGGATTTTAAGAGAGTATAGCCTCTATTTGAGTCTGTAAAGGAGATCAAAGTCTTTACTCAATCACCAATAAAGAGGGGCGTATTTCCCTTTAAATAAACTAAAATAATAATAAATAAATAAAAAACAAACCCACAAATCTCTCTCTCTATATTTTCTGCCTACTTTTCCTATTTTTTCTCACCTCAGTCCTACTCATGTTTTTTCCTATCTCCATTCCTATCTCCCTAAAATCTAAATGATATATTCTTAGATTTTAGGAAATAAATCTCCCCAAAATCTCTATGAAATAGTATCTTCTTAGATTTAGGAATTCCCTCCTTTTCCTCACGCGCCACCTCCTACCATATCTTTCTATTTCTCTCTATCTAAAAGGTAACTCCTATTAGTACCACATCCCTAACCACATGATAAACCTCCCAAAAATAAAAATAAGTAACCCAAAATACCAAATTCTAAATATCCTTTATACCCCTCAAATCTCTCCAACAAAAAATACAAAAATAACCCAAAATAAACTAAAAACCTAAATAATACCAAATCTAAAATAAAGAAAATATAAAAATAAAAAATAAAAAACTCATAGCATCATTCTCTCGGGGTTGGGAGAAGCTCGACTACGAGCTTACATCCTCGAGAGTCCAAGCGAATAATTGGTGATGTAGTTTGACAATTCTTCTTGGTATTTTCACATACCGCAAATCAAAAAATTGTCAACATCTTTTGCACTGAGAGTTACCTCTTCATTCTTCTTGGTCAGATTGGAATCTATGGAATAGATCTCGTAGGCCTTGTTCTATTACTTTGCTTGAGTCTCTCAATTTTTTTATCCACTTGCTCAAATATTTGATCTATACGTTCCATAATTAGATCATCAGTTATTTGTGATCAACATGGATATTAAGGCTTTGATACCAACTGATTTACTTGTGATCAATCTCAAAGCTTTGATACCAACTCATGCAGGGAGAAATAATAACAGGAAAATAAAAATAAAATTAAAAGGATTTTAAGGGATTATAACCTCTCTAGGTTTGCATTGGAGTGCACCCCAAGATCTTTTCACAAGATCAAGATCAAACTTTTTACTCAATCATCAATAGGCTTTGATCCCAACTGATTTATTTGTGATCAACATGTATCTCAAGACTTTGATACCAACCGAGTTACTCTTTACTCAATCATCAATAGGCTTTGATACCAACTGATTGATTTGTGATCAACATGTATCTCAAGGCTTTGATACCAACTGATTTATTTGTGATCAACATGTATGCTTTGATACCAACTGATGCAGGGAGAAAATAATAACAGGAAAATACCAACGGATGCAGGGAGAAAATAATAATAGGAAAATAAAAATAAAATAAATACCAACTGATGGTGGGAAAATAAAAAAATAAAAAAAAAGGATTTTGAGAGATTATAACCTCAACTGATGCATGGAGAAAATAATAACAGGAAAATAACAAAGGATGCAAGGAGAAAATAATAACAGGAAAATAAAAATAAAATAAATACCAACCCATGGAGGGAAAATAAAAAGGATTTTGAGATATTATAACCTCTCTAGGTTTGCAAGGGAGTCCACCCAAGACGTTTTTAAAACATCAAACTCTTTACTCAATCATCAATCACCGCCTAATATGAATCCCACATCCCTAACCACCACAGGCTAAGCTTCCCAAAAACAAAACAAGTAATTAAAATTCTAAATTAAATATCCCTCAAATCTCTACAACAAAAAAATACAAAAATAACCCTTGATAAACTTAAAAACCTAAATAATACCAAATCCAAAATCAAGAAAATAAAAAGATAAAAAAATAGTAAAATAAAAAGCTCATTGCATCAGTATCTCAACCTTTTCCGTTCTTATTTTGTATTCCTTTGATGTATCAAATCAACTTTATGCAATTCTTTTTTCCTGAAATTGTAGAACTCATTTTTTTTGCATCTCTGATCAGATTCAAGCAAGTCTCCTTTGACTGTTCCTAAGACTTGCGATCCTGTTTATCCATTCCTTATTACCTTGTGGAGAACTTGTGGAAATTAACTTGACTTTCACAAAATAAGTGCAATAAGCCTACTTAGCATGATGTGTTACTAAGTGCAATAAGCCTACTTAGCATGATGTGTTACAAGCTGCTTGAGGTTTTTATGGATATCTGAAACCTTGTTATACAAGGTCGAGTAAGGATGTTTTGACATTCTTGAAGCTGCTTTTTTCAATCATCAAACAAGAGGAGATGGTTGGTGGTTTCCCTCTGGTTGCTTTACATGTCTCTTTGTTGCATTGTTTCTCTATTCATCGAGTGAAACTATTCACCAACTGATGGTTCCTTTTTATTATCTTTGGCGTACACATATTCAATGTAGGATACTCTTCCTAGTGTAAGACTATACGCTTCACGCAACATCTAGAGATATTTATATATGGATCTCGATTATTTGTAGCCTAACATTATTGCCTGCGTCATGAATATTATTGGCTAAAATTTCGCAAACATTGGTTGCAGTATTGGTATTGCTAATTCTCTTAGCTTTATTGGCAAACATTTCAAGGAGATTGTCATTCTCAATGGTCCTCATCAACTATATATAATTCAAGTTATTTCAGTTATTGTTTTTCAATGCCCTCTGAACAAAGATATTATCTAAATAGTGAACAATGTCTTGTTGAATTTATTAATTATAATTATAACCTTGCAAGCTAATGAAGGTGAGTCTTCTCTGGTTTGGTGAGCATAATTGCTTGGGTAGATCTCCCAAAATCTTTTTGTTGTGTATCTGTATTTTTGTGATTCTGAAAATGAACTTACAAGGTTTTTGTTTTTCTTAATTTCTTTTTGAAACTGAAACTGTTAACTGTTGTATTACTAAAGAAAAACTTACAAAGGTGAGAATTAAAGAAAGGAACCCACAGAAAGGCCTCCCTGTACAAAAACCCCAAGGGGTCCAAAAAATGATATCCACCACCCTAAGGGATCTAGAAAAATGCTATACATTTTGATCTGTGAGTGCGAGTGTACAAAAAACCAGAATGGCAATCACTAAGGTGACGAAAATGGTTCCCCCTAGGATGCACCCATCCGCAAGGCACCCTCCCGAACAAGAGAGTCGGCGGCTGCATTGGCCTCCCTCCAAATATGTCTCCAGGAAACGAGAAGATCCCTACATATGTGGAAACTTTCATTGAAAATGTGCTCCAATATCCAGGGGCTTTAGAGGCCCAGAAAATGAATTTACAAGTTTACATCATGAATTGGGTTAACAACTATGATCCCACATTCATTTTTCATATAGAAAATATAACGAAGATATACATCTAGTCGCACTATCTGCAGACTGACAAAACACTACATTAAAATTTTTCATGGTTAAACAAATTGACACATATTCATCAAATCCTATTTTGGTTCCATGACTATGCGTCTATCTGTGGCCCGATGTCTACTCCAATGTTGCCATTTAAGTGTTCACCCTTTAACTGGTTTTCCATGGAGGCTTTCTAGTATAATGAAAGCAATTTGGGGCTTGTCTAGGATTCTGTGATTTTGTTTGTCATCTTTCTATCATGCACATATAGAAACAATATGGTGGCATATACTGTTATGATATAAACAATATGGTGTCATAATACTCTTTAATGATATAAATGATATGGTGTCATGGTGTCATAATCCTCTTTAATGATATAAATGATTTGGTGCCATATAGTATTATGATATATATTATTCTACGTTTGGGCATTTGCTGCATGTGAATTAATCCAGAAATCTATTGCCATCTATGGATTTTTCACGGTTGCATTTTTGTTATTTTTTGATATCATGCAAATATTGTGGTCTCTCTACACCATTGCTGCTGCAGCACCCGCCATATTACCTACTCTCTCTCTCGGCACCCAGTGGGGCAAGGGAAAACTGCCCTGAGCTTCCCCTTCTCTTCTTGAAATTGAAGGGTGGTGGCTGCAATGCCGTGGTGGGGAGGAGGAATTTGTTTCAGAAGATCGTTTCCCAAAACAAAAATCAATTAAAAAAAAATTCATCTTACCTGTTTCTGAATTGTCAATTTCAGAAAAAGGTAGCATGTTTCCCAAATTATGCTATGATTTCCATGTTATATACATAATTTTTTGAATGTTAATATGGGTGAACAAATGTCATTACCAAAAAAAAAAGAAAAAAAAGGGTGAACAAATGTTACCAGAGCCTATCCAATGTAGTTCAGTAATTTGTAAGCAACCACTGAGATAATCATCTTAATAATGCTAGACTCGATGGGCAATAAGTATAGTAAGCTTTTGAAAAATTCTCTAGGTAGATGTGTCACAAAATTCAGAAGATTATGGCCTATAGCTATTTATTTATTTTTCTTTCTATCTATGCATGTTTTTGTTTGTCAAGTTCTTTTTTCCTTATCTTAAGACTTGCCTTGTCTCCAGTTTGGTGGGTTTTGATATCTGTCTTTGTGATATCGTTAGTTTTTGGTGATATACCTACATATTTAACTCATACATTGATTGGTTACAACAGAACCATGTTATGCTGCTTTCCATGATGAAGAATGGGGTCTTCCAGTTCATGATGACAAGTATGTGGTTTTCTTGCTGGCTGTTTCTTGTCAGTGATGCAATGCTTTTCAAAGCTAAAACTACTTCGTTCTTTTGATAGATTAGAAACAATTGACTCTCTTTTTGGATTAATCTTTTATTCTTTCAGAAAACTCTTTGAGTTGCTGGTTTTATCAGGAGCATTGGCAGAACTTACCTGGCCATCTATTCTTAGCAAAAGACACACATTTCGGTACTCCTCTATCTTTAGAGATATATTAATCAAAGTTAATCATATATGTTGAATTCATCTAACCAATCTTTCTACAGGGAAGTGTTTTTGGATTTTGACCCGGCTTCAGTTGCCAAGCTGAGTGAGAAAAAGATCATATCAATTGCAAACAATGCAGGTCTCCAATTATCAGAACCAAAACTGCGTGCTGTTATTGAAAATGCACGGCTTATTTCAAAGGTATGCCCACGTTGCTTTGTAGAACATCTCTGGCAAACTTAAATGAGCAAACAGTGCTTATTTTAAAAAAGAAAGATGAAGGGCACTGGCATGGTTGTGTTGAGAGAGAGAGACAGGTCTTCGTTCTTTTTCTTTTTTTTTGTTTCTCATTTCTGTACTTACGGTTTCAGCCATTCATTTTTTTTTTCTACGTGCCTATCTGCAACTTGTTTTGCCTAATTGTCTTCCTGATTGAATGCAGATCATCACAGAGTTTGGCTCTTTTGATCGATATTGCTGGAGCTTTGTTAACAACAAACCAATTGTCAACAAATTCCGATATCCCCGTAAGGTCCCTGTGAAGACCCCCAAAGCCGATGTCATAAGCAAAGATTTAGTAAAGAGAGGGTTTCGTTATGTGGGTCCCACCGTTGTCTACTCATTCATGCAGGCTGCTGGCATAACGAATGACCATCTCGTGAGTTGTTTCAGGTTTGAGGAGTGTCTCTCTGCCTCTGATGGAAGGGAAACTGCCTTTGCCTGTGATGGGAGAGAAAGTGCTGCTGCTTCTGATGGGAAAGAAACTGGAATCAGCAGAGAGAGCAGCAAAATCGACGAGAAACCTGAATTGGCGTGCCTGAATATTATGAAAGGAGTCGAGGAATTGGCAATTGCTCTCTAGAAACAACCGACAATTCTCTCTCAAGAAACCAGGGGTTTGGTGGCATTTGGCTGCCTTGTGTACCCTGATGCACAGATGGGCCCTCGTTGGTTGAAGATGGGTCCCACCTTGGGTGCTCTTTGATGGAGAATTATGTAAAGAATCTGAATTTCTATGCATGTTTTCTTGTAGATTCACATTCCTCTGAATTTCTTCTGAAGATTTCCTTTGTCATGCATAGGTGCCTGTTGATTTCTATTCCTCTGAATTTCTATGGACGTTGTGCCCCCTCCCACTCCGCCTCCCCCTCCCCCTCAAAAAAAAGAAAAAGAAAAAGAAAAAAGAAGCCTTTCAACAAAGGGAGGCGTTTATGAGTTTGCAACCTTAAAATGTAGAATGACAGGTGCACCTCAAAAATCTATCGGGAAGGTTGTTTTAATGTTGAAAAACCCTCTAATTGATCTCATCTCGACATTGAGATGTATGAATATTAAAAAAAAAATTTTCGAGTCTAAAAGGTAATGCATCTTGTAACACATTATCTAGACCATACATTTTCAAGATTTTCGTATGTTTATAGATCTACTTGATTTTAATCTTTTTGGAAGTTTAAAATTTTTTAATTAGATATGAAAATAGCTTTTAAGATAATTCTAAAAATAAATTACAACAAAATTATATGTTATGATAAAATTTGGAGATGTGCTTTAATGGGTTTGTTTAAGGTTGTAACATTATAGAAACTGCACCTGTCAACAAAACTGCAATGGAAGACAAAACAAAGATTTCATCAAAAAACTCACATTCTATGACTAGCAAAAATAAATTTTTTATTTCTTAGATATACAGATTATCAAAAATATAGAATGAGATTTTTTGCATTTTGTATAAGGTGGTCACAATTGATCTTAAATATAGGATTGGATTTGAAATTTTGTACGAGGTTGTCACAATTGATTTTAAACATTGGATTGGATTTGAGATTAGGTGGTTGCATTTATTCTATTGACTAAGTTCAAACTTCAAAAGAAATTTTTTCGAATTTTGTGGTACACCCAAACTATCAAATTCACATAAGATGGTTATAAATAATTGTGACTACCTTGTATTAATGGTAAATGGTCTCATTGTATACAATCCCATGACATATATTGGAAAATTGCAAGTGTAACTGTTGGTAAAAAGTAGCACCGGTGATCAAAATTGAGTAAAACCCGTTGCATCTTCAATTGCAAAATTTAGCATTATTATGCTTTGCCAGCTCTGAATTCAACCTGATTGAACCTACTTTCCTCCCAAGCTCAGTTTTGCTCTAGACAACCGCCTGTGCCTGTTTGAAGTCACCAATCTTTATCATTTCCAACCATCCAAGTTTCTGTAAGCTCATACAGAGGCACTACAACATCATTATAGAAAGTAACCTCTTGTGAGTTTTGCTGGAGTAAAGCTTTTATATGAAGATTAGTTGCAGTAGAAGTACCGCGCAGAGGAGCTGCAAGATTCTGGTCCTCATCCATTTCTTGGAAGCCCGAAAAACTTCCATATCCATGTGCTTTCCCAGCTCCAATTCTCCTGAACAACAAAAACCCAACTTCAATTTAGTGAGAGAGCCACACTTACTTGAGTTATACCCACAACATGATGAGTTAACGATATTTATGCATGGTGAGCGTTTTTCAGTTTGTTACCTTTCATAATCATACATAACTATCCATGTGCTTTCCCACCTCTTCTCCTGCGTAACCAAACCCAATTTCAATTTTTTTAAAAAATTAAGCCTGGTGCTTCTCCACATCTTGAGTCATGCCCATAAAATGATGTAACATAGTGAATGTATGATGATTTTTACAGTAAGTACACATGCTTGCATGCATTCTTATACTGTTCGTGGCCGTACCTGCGCTCCATTTCATGGTGTTTAAAATCCTCCTCAGTATTTGAGATGCTTGATGGGTCACATGCGTATGGTTTTGTGAGGAAGTACTGTTCATACACAATTTTTCTCGTCAGTTATTCTCCTCCAAACTCACCATATGGGGTGTGAGCTAACCACATGGAAAACAAAGAGTATTGAAAGGAAAAAATGAAGAAGAATGACATGATGAATTATATGACATCGGCCTTGACGAGCCAAGCCATGGTCAATGCCATGTCGCATGATGCCATGTTCAGAAGGCCCTCACTACCACCCATTTTTGGTTCCGTTACTGGCTCTTGCAGTAATAAGAGATACGCTAGCGAACCAGACTAGACATTTCATAAATTTTATCATCTTAAAAACAACTTTGGATTGTAAGAACAAAAGCTATAATATATCGTTCTTCTTTAACAATGTTATCGATATAAAACACGATGGTTGCTATATAGTATATACAGGTGACTTCCCAATAACCAAATTACACTCCTACTCTCCTTTTGGCCCTACCTAAATAAAGAGAATCACTAAAGAGAGTAAAATACTGAGAGTCAATTGGTATCACATTTAGAAGATCAAGCAAACTCAAATTCAAGAAAATACCAAAGGAAACTAAGCTAGATCTTTCATCCCAAGACAATATTGGAAATTTTACTTGAGAAGAAACTTGATACTTATATTCATCTTTAACACAAAGAAGGATATAGTTAGAGACATAACCAGATGATTGCGACCATTGTAGGATCTGAGTAATGCAAGCTTGAGGAAGGGCATACATATACCTACTAAACAATAACTGAAAGCAATTCATTTTTGACATCTACAGATTTTCCAGTTCTGTGCAGTGGTGAGACCCTTTTGTTTTCGAGGTCTTATCAGCATGGCAAGCATTGAGTATAGACACTGGAAGGGCAGTCATCTTGCTGGTTTTTTGCGCAATGTGGGTGTACTTTGAGGAGTAATGCTGTCTGAGAGACGCTCCCTGACTGTTAGTAAAGATGTGGTTTCTTTCTCTTCTTAATGTTTTATTTCTGCTTCTCTGGTTAGAATATATATGCATGTGCATTCTCTTTAAGTTCAAGTTAAATGTGGCAGAAAGTAACAGTGTGTGGATCTTGGCAGTCATTGAATACACCAGTCAATAAATAGGCTGTTCAAATACGGAGAAATATATAATGAGACCATTTACCTTTGGTACAAGGTGATCACAATTACTTATAACCATCCGATGTGAAATTTGATAGCTTGGATGTATCACAAAGTTCGAAAAAATTTCTTTTGAACTTTGAGCTTGGTCAATGGAATAAATGTAGCCACTCAATATCACATCCAACGATCAAGATTAATTGTGACCACCTTGTACCAAAGGTAAATGGTCCCATTGCACACAATCCCATTCAATAAAGGCATTTTATAGCACATTTTTCATTTTATTTATGTTTTTTTACATTTGAACTTACAGCAAGTTATGGCTTTATGAAGAGAAACCCAAACATTCGAAATAGTTATAAGCAGTACAGAAGTAAACAACTGAATCTGCATGCATTGTAAAGGAAAAATGAACAAACAACAATTAAGTTTCTGCAGAACTCATTTGAGTGAATTAAACAAATAACAAGTAGATGTTTAAACAAACTTATTCAATTAATCATATAGAATCAATGCATCTGGAAAAAAAAAAAAAAAAAAAAAACTTAACCTCAGATGCAAGAGCAGCTCTTGCAGTGCCCCTCCTGGTAGGGTCAACAGAAAGGAGCATATTCAACAAATTCAAATTTCTTTGTGGGAGAAATTTAAATGTCTGTGTAAGACGATGCTCATAAGGCTGTTGGGATTTGAAGATAGCTGCCCAAGGCAGCTTGCATGTCCTCCAATACTCATCAGATGGTGAACCACAAAGTCTAAAAATTTCATATAGTTGTTCCACCTGTTAGAAGAATGAAAAGGTTTTTAAGGCATTAAAATGAGCAGAATCCTGCAAGAATCTAAGCCCAAGATAAGCTGTTGAACAACTACCCAAATTATTGGTTGTTTTTTACAATCTTTACCATACCACTAGTTTATAAGCTCTTTCACTCTCTCAACCTGCACATGCACATACACGTGCATAGGGAAATTTGTCAAAATGCATCAATGGCATTAACTATTAACATTTTACCCATGTATTTTGACTTAATTTCAAAATTCTCATCGAAATGCACATGATTCTGAGTTGGAATGGCAGAAAAAAGGTAAAATGTTCAATAGTTGAAAAGTAAGATGTATTTTGATAAATGTCCACCTACACACGTGCGCACACACATGCACAGAGTTATTAGGTGAGTTAATTAGTTACTTAGGGAGAACTTAAACAGCTGAAATTTACTTCTCTAACATTTTGGATTAACTTTGTGATATATTTCAGAGAGAGAATGATTTTCAGCTGTTGAAACCCAGATTTGATATTGTGACAAATGGACGGTCTAGAAACATTCTTGGAGTGAGAGTTTATTGAGCATTTTTTGGCTCCAAAATCAAAGTTTAGTTTTAAATGGTCTTAGAGAGGAGTAAATATGATTTCAGAGTTTTGGGGTCAAACAAATCCTCATAACTAGACATTTTTGCCCTTGGGCCAATTTCTGAAGTATGGCCCTTGGGCCAATAAGATTTGTTTTCCATAAAATACGTATTAATGCATGTATATGTATGGGTATACACACTAGAACAGAGAAATAGTTCATAGCAACCTTCAACAAATGACATTTATTAAAAATTTTCAGTAATGACCTCAGTTCTCCCCTGAAATATAGGCTCTCCAAAAATCATTTCAGCAAACACGCATCCCACGCTCCATAGATCCACTGTGTTTCCATAATCTGTAGAGCCTAGAAGAAGTTCAGGAGGTCGGTACCAAAGAGTTACTACATGGTTAGTAAGTGGTCGCCTCTGTCTAGGATTAATAAAGGTAGCCAAACCAAAATCAGCAACTTTTAGAACACCGTTTCCATCAACCAAAAGATTTGATCCTTTGATGTCCCGATGAATAACACCACGAGAATGGCAATGGTCAAGTCCAAGAAATAATTGTTGCATAAGACATTTAATCTGCATAACACAAGTGAAAAAGGCAAAATAATATAATGCTCAGAGGGGATCATAGAAATTGCTATATGCCTTGAATAAACGGAAATTGGAAATTGGAAATAATCTCAAAAGCCATTACATGTAGGGCAAAGTATCTGTACCAGTATCCAATGGACTATGGAAAGCAGTAGCACAAAAGGCCATCGAATAAAATGGACATTTAGGGAGAGAGAGTGGGACCCATTCTCCCATGTCCTGTTCTCATGGGTCCTACTCTTTCTCCATCACCATCCATAATTGCATTGGATGGTGATAACCCAAATGGACCCTTATTTTCCCATCTCCATCATACTATAGTACATAACATAAAAATACAGCTTTGTATAATATAGTAGCCATTCATTAATCACTGACAAACCTGGGATTCATTAAACTTGATATTTGGACGGGACAACAACCTGGCCAGATCATGTTCCATGTATTCAAACACAAGATACAAGCTACGAGAGAAGCGAGAAAGGACCAATCCCTCTAACTTCACAATATTCGGATGATCTAATCTTCGCAAAATCTTTATCTCGCGTGCCATAAAGTGGATACTCTCTGGTATGCACTTGTCAAAACCTACTCTCTTGAGTGCCACAAACCTCCCACTCCTAACTTCAGAAGCTCGATACACATTGCCATATGCACCTTGCCCGATCTTGAATGGCAAATATCACAAGCAAGCAGAGTCGAAAAGTTCAGGAAGATTACATAAAAGAACTCAAGATGTAACAAGCCAAATATTTTACATGCATGAATTTATGTGATCATTGAAATTAAAAGTAACCACTTGAGCATGTGCTGTGAGTAGCCTTCAGAATCATGCTAAAAATTAAAAGAGTAAAGGCCTCTACTTGAGCACATTAAAGAGGATGAGAACAGGACTTTGGCTACAGCTCTTTGAAGGGCTCATTTGTGAGAGAAGGATATGGTGAACAAACTAACTTGAAAGTAAAGAAAGACAAGAAAGGTCATTGAAAGTAGTGTAAAGTTTCAATCCACTAGTGAGCTATTTGAATGACAGCCCAGTACTAATGGAGAAAATGATTATACTACAGAATGCCTGTAAATTTAGGGAATAGTTCATGCCACCGGCCATATTTTTCGTATTAAAAAAATATACGGGATACCCAATAATGTCTAATGAGAATGTCCTACCACAGAAAATTCATGATGCAAGATGGATATTTAGTTCATTGTTACTAATATCACACGTACATTGTCTACCGTTAGTTAAATATACTAAAAATTTAATTAACACATTTGCCTGTAGCATACACTAGAACATGTGCATCCAATCAAACTATCTTTTGCCATTTTAACACTCAAGGCGCCAAGTGTGTTTCAATTATTCATATCCACATCTCTAATTATTTTGATGATAATAAGAAGTTCCAACTCAAGTTGAAACTAAAGGCTAGAAAATCTGACAAGACAGCAATGTAGAAAAATGATGTGTTTCACATCCTAGTAAGAAAAGAAGAGCCTGAGGAAACAATTGTCTGAAATCAGCCACGCAAATAAAACATCCTTTTGAGTGTCAGCTTCAGCATCAGAAACATCACAACAAGAGATTGGATTGTTAGATTTCAACAAAAGCTAAAATATTTTATTCAGAGATTAAGATGGTTGAATTGAAGGAGTTCAAGGTAAAAAAGATCTGAGCTTGCAGGAAACCTATTTCATGTGGAATTTTTCACTTTTCCTTCATTTGTACACAAATAGATATTCACGTTTTTTTCAAACTGGTATTCTAGAGATGGCATCTTTATCACACGAGAGATAAGAATGCATCTCTTAATGGTAACTTGCACGATAAGATGCATGCCCCCTCCACAAGAAACTGATTTATGCTCTCAATTAAGTTCCCAAGGCTTGGTTTGAGAGATTTTGTGCTATTGCGACTTTCAGGAGTGTTCGCAATGTAGGACTGATGTCTCTCTCTTTATTAGTCTAGTCTTCAGGTGATCTGATGGTTGTGCTTAATGTATACAGAGATGATATTGTTGTTATTTGTAATGTCACTTCAACCATAGCAAGTTTTAGGATATTTTATAGCAGTTCTAAACTATGACTTGAAATTACAATGTCAAGAGGGTACCTAATTGGAATAGAAAAAGTATGCAGGGCATTACTTCTGGGGCTCACGAGGATGAGTCCACAACATTTGCGGCTCCAGCAAAGCTTAATATGAAGCTTCCAACAAGTGATTGTGAGCATCTTTATGACCCACCCACTTATAGGTTTTAAGTTTGAGAGCTCCTTCATTTGACAATAACCAGATTGTATATTTCTTATGCAGTTCAAGTGGGCAAACTGGTTTGTCTAGGGACCATGAACTGTAGTTTGACAATTTCTTATAGAAAACTTCTTTTGTCAAATGAGATTGACACTAAAAATGCATATAATAGACTAATTCTATTCTAAATGGGAATATTTCCTAGGCCACAATGTTTTGCTATTATAGCATTGAGAGATGCAATGCTCCAAGTCAAAAACATCAAGAATAACTCAGGCTAGTCCATCCATTTTTCAAGAACACTTTATCCAACCACATTTCCATGGCCATTGTGATGTGAACTGAGAAAGCAAGAAATAAACTTGGTATGCATCACTTGTATACTTGATCTATAAACAGCCTTAACGGACCAATCGCTCAAAACTAGACCAAATCTACTAAATCAAATACTTTTCATTTTGTTCTTGAGCATGGTACTCGGACATAGAGTCTAGGGTATGAGACTAAGAGCTTCAGATCACAATATCACAATGTGAAGCTTGCAAGGTAGAAAATCCAAGCAGTTATGGCACATTTGGAGTGTGTGAAAAAACATTTTCACATGATAAAGTTCTCTCATGCGGTCAAGTGTGGGAATATTTTTACATCAATTAGTTGCCAATCGATGTGAAAAAATACATGAAGACCAATTGGTATGAAAATATTCCACACTTAACTGCATGAGAGAATTTTTTCATGTGAAAATATTTTTTAGAAAACATTTTCATGCTAACCAAATGTGCCATTAGGTATTGGCTAGACGTCAAGCTTGACAACATAATTTTGTGAGCTATGGAAGCTATGACCTTACAATTAATCTCACATCCTTTGAAATGTGTTCTCTGTTAGTCATGGGGAATTTATATTGAATATTTCTCCCCCTAAAAGGAGATTTGAAGTTCTGAATATTAGGGATTCCAAAGCTCTTCATTTTGTCATCCAGATGAAATGGTAGCAAGGTTAAATATAGAATTCTTTCAGGACTCCTCTGTCTAGACAGTGGACATTTATGTTTGCTTTTTGTTTATTGCAGAAAATATGCTCCTTGTCTATGTACAATAGATGAAAAATGAAAAATCTAAAAGTCCTACTTCCTTTCTCAATTTACATACAAAATTATTATCAAATATACAATTTGAAGTTACTTAAAAGCTACAAAACCACATACAGATCAGGATTTTCAAGATGAATGGACCTGATCACTTAAGCATGTCATATATTTAATGAGTTAGAGAGAGAGAGAGAGAGAGAGAGAGAGAGAGAGAGAGAGAGAGAGAGAAAGAAGAGAAGATAGAAGTAGAGAGAGATATACGTACGTTACTTTACTTTTAACGTTAAGTTAAAGTAAACGTTAACGTACCGGTACCGTAACGTAACGTA